TATAACAGGGAAAGCCCGAAAATGGAGGGTCACGTGTGGGAGTGTTTCACGAGCCAGACCTGCAGAGTGGGGGGTCTGTTAGTTCAACCCACATTCCACTGGCTGTCATTTCGCCGTGGAGAAGCCACACTTGAAGAGGGGCCAGGAGATGAAGTCCAGCTGTGTGCCCAGGAGGAAACAGGAAATGAGCTGGAGAATAAGCAGCTGGTATCTGCCTCCTTTTCAGGCAGTGCTTGGTTTCATCCCCCCCACCTCCCCACCCCCGCTCCTCAGCTCAGAACCAAAGGCAAAGGGTTTTTTTTCATAGTTAGGTACAAAGAGGGTTGCAATGATAAGTCTTAGCTATATGCAGGAGGCAGTCACTGAATTCAAGGATTTTTCCAGATCATTAGTTCCTTTTATTCAAGACTAGCCAAAAAAAAAAAAAAAAAAAAAAGTATTCCTCTTCTGTACTCCCTTCCCTCTGAAACATGTAAGAAGTTCTACCACCAAAATTCAACAAACACAAACCTGGCAATTCACCCTTTTCCTATATTCCAGCAGTAGCTTTTTTCTACTAGAAAGGCATCCCTCATTCAAAGTGCACTCAATATACTTCGTCTGTATCCTTTAAAAGGGGTGAAAAACATGTTTAAATGTCATTAGGCTTGTATTTCATCCCAGGAAAACAAGCTCATCAAATACTTTCATGAGGTAACACCTTTGAAAAAGACCAGGTTTAATTAAGCAATTGCTTAGCACTGAGACCTGATCAAAGTGTAAATGTTAATGCACTGACTACTCTTTTTTTTCCTTTGTGTAATGAGTAGTAGAGACTAGCTCACTTCCAAAATCCTGACTCTGACTTTCCAAATCCATTCCAAAGGGCAAGTTCATGAGCCTTCTCAGCAGTACATCCAGCACCAGTATAAAGGTCTCCAATTTCTAGTCCATTCTGATGCTCTGACCACAAATACGATACTTAGTCTTATGGCTCAAAAAATCCCAACAGTAAGTTATGGTCCCAACCAGTGAGTGATGGTCTGCGTGTCTGCTCAGAGAGACTGAGGGCTGAAAATTATATAGAAAATTATACAGAGATTAAAAAAATTATATAGATATTTAAAAAAATCAAGCCATTATTTCCCACAAGTTCAAAAGCTCACAACAGTTGAAATTATGTTTGGATAGTATTTGGATGGCTGCCTCAGAGAAATCACTTCAGAAATATTTAGTAATTACGTGTTTTGGCTCCTACAATTTTGAATACAGAACACACTGACAAAAGGCAGAGGGCGGGAAAAAAAGTGCAGATGTAGCACTTTCTAAACTACTGCGTTAGTCTCATTTTTAATTTATGATTTATCATTCTGGAGGTTGTGTCTGCTAAAGATTTAAATTTTCTTCCAACTTAACCTGCTCTATGCTGTTAATTACATTTTAAATAAAGTTTTAAATGAATACACAAAGTCTGTACAAACTGCTCTCTTAGTAACTGTTACTATTATCGTATGAGATTAGGTATTCCGAGTAGAACGTAATTGATTTTATTCATTTTTCTTACTATGTGCCTTGGCTTATTCATTCATCCATCCATTGTGTCAGTTTTGGCTTTTTAAAAATCTTTTTTTAAATTCCAGTTAATTAACATACAGTGTGATGTTAGTTTCAGATGTAGAATTTAGTGATTCAACACTTCCATACAACACCCGGTGCTTGTCACAAGTGCCCTCCTTCATCCCCGTCACCTATTTCACCCATCCCCCACCACCTCACCTCTGGGAACCAGCAATTTGTTCTCTATAGGTAAGAGTCTGTTTTTTGGTTTACCTCTCTCTTTTTTTCCCCTATTATTTATTTTGTTTCTTAAGTTCCACATATGAGTGAAATTATATGGTATTTGTCTTTCTCTGACTGACTTATTTCACTTAGCATAATATCCTCTGGTTCCATCCACCTCATTGCAAATGGCAAGATTTCATTCTTTTTTTTCTTTTTAAAGATTTTATTTATTAATTTGACAGAGAGAGACACAGCGAGAGAGGGAACACAAGCAGGGGGAGTGGGAGAGGGAGAAGCAGGCTTCCCGCTGAGCAGGGAGCCCAACGAGGGGCTCGATCCCAGGACCTGAGCCGAAGGCAGACGCTTAAGGACTGAGCCACCCAGGCGCCCCCAAGATTTCATTCTTATTTATGGCTGAGTAATATTCCATCATGTGTGTACACACACACACACACACACACACAAATCCCACATCTTCTTCATTCATTCATCAGTCTATGGACACTTGGGCTCTTTCCATAATTTGGCTATTGTAGATAATGCTGCTATAAACATTGGGGTTCATGTACCCCTTCAAACTAATATTTTGTATCATTTGGGTAAATACCTAGTAGTGCAATTGTTATATTTATCCAAATTGTTGGATATTAAAAATGTTTTTCCAGAAATAAAAAGATGCCTATTTCTATAGACAGAAAACCATAATTTAATCAATTCATTAGTTTCTCCAAAATATATTTACTCCTACATAAGTAAAAGTAACATTTATACTTTAAGATGTCTTTAGAAGTTTGGTTATTTTATTAAAGGAAAACTAGTATTTCAATACTTTCGATTTTGACTGTATTAATTTGCAAAATTATATTATCACACTTTCATTTTTTAATTTAGTTTTATGCCATTCTAAAAACTGCAAATGACTTCAATTTTTTTTTGAGACTTAATTTTTGAATCACAAACCCCTTCAAGTCCACTAGTTCTTTATTCTTTACATTTATATAGTCTTAGATTTTGCAGATATTTTTCCACCATAATGAAAAAAATTTATTAAAACTGGAGTCTTCCCAAATTCAACAGATTTCTCCCCCTCCAAAAAACAGTAAAAAAAAAAAAGTTTAAATTACTACTGAAGCAGAATGAGGATTATCTCACATTTGAAACCAAGCAACCTCATACCTCCTTTGCTTCGGCCTAAATGTCCTATTTACTTCAAAATATTATCAAGTCAATTATGCTGGCATCCTTTTACTAAATATTCACCTTATGCATAAGATTAGTATTTTAAACATGTGCAAGTATTAAGAAGCCACGTTCTCTTATAAGTTATAACAGTATCAGGTATATAAGTTATAACAGCATCAGGTGTAGCTCAGAGAGTTAGTTGGAAGGTTATGCTAACCATAGCAAAAGCTCACAGACTCACACAATTGCAGAACTGCTCATTTTATCAGCCTCCTGGAAACTCTCAACATTTTCCAGAGGAAAGACAAAAGTGCTTTTTGAATAATACTATCAGTAAACAGATAAGAGGATGTGTCAAACACATTGAAATCATTCTAATCTAGAAGATGATTAAATCATTAGTGTATCACCTCAGATTAATCTACCTTTGTTAGGAAGGAGGCTGTTAATCCCAGAAGAGAAATGCTTAGAACATTATTTTATCAAGTAGCGGAACAAACTAGTTAACAAAATAGTACACAAACACTTTGAAACAAGTAAGTTAGGAGCAAAACTAAAATACTGATGGTACAGATGCAAGGAGAAAGCCTGAGATTCAGTTAATAGGTGAATTTATTCACAAAGAACTTATCAGAAGTAAAAGTACATCTGTCTGTCTGAATTCCATATTAAATAGTACTAGCAAAAGGCGAAGCTGGGGCACCCGAGCAGCTCAGCCGGTTAAGTGTCCGACTCTTGATTTCATTTCAGGTTTTGATCTCAGGGTTGTGAGTTCAAGCCCCACGCCCAGTGTGGAGCCTACTTTAAAAAAAAAAAAAAAAATGTGAAGCTAATACAGCCCTAGCTGTTATGGTCCTTCTATTTTTAGCTCTATGTGACAGAACAGATTATCACTTGGAATACCAAAGTACGTTGTCTATGGGACGAGTTTTTTCTTTCTTTCTTTCTTTTTTAAAGATTTTATTTATTTATTTGAGACAGAATGAGAGAGACAGAGAGCACATGAGAGGGGGGAGGGTCAGAGGGAGAAACAGACTCCCCGCCGAGCAGGGAGCCCGATGCGGGACTCGATCCCGGGACTCCAGGATCATGACCTGAGCTGAAGGCAGTCGCTTAACCAACTGAGCCACCCAGGCGCCCGGGACGAGTTTTTTCAAGTTTGTCAAAAGCTAAAATAAGAATTGAAGAAAAATTTAATGGCCCTCTCCTTTGTTAATTACTGAAAAACGGTCATTGGCTTATTTTACTTACATCCCATAGCATCTGATTGGACTTAATCCAGAACGGCAGAGACCGTGTGAAAGAATACATTAACATTCAACAACTACGTTCATTGATTTAACCTTAGAAAAGTAAAGGTAAACACAGTTCCTCAGTGGTGTTTCACAGTGATGTTTCAAACAATATGAATCCTAGAGAGGAACTTCTAGAAGAACAATAGCTGATGAAAAAGCCTTATCATTATTTTAGGAGACTTGATTTGGAAAATGAGTCTGAATGAAGATTCACTTACTTTGTCACAGTAAATGCCAACTTTACATTTGTTCATGAAAGAAAATAAATTACTAGATTTAAAGAATGATTGCATCACTAAGTACCCGCAAAGAGATCAGATTATCAAAATGGGGGTGAATGGGGGCTCCTGGGTGGCTCAGTCGGTTAAGTGGCTGACTCTGGCTCAGGTCATGATCCCAGGGTCCTGGGATCAAGCCCATCAGGCTCCCTGCTCAGCGGGGAGCCTGGTTCTCCCTCTCACCCTGCCTGCCCCTCCCCCGGTTCATGCTTTCCCTCTCTCTCTCTCAAATAAATAAAATCTTTAAAGAAAAATGTGGGTGAATGATGAGAAAGAAGTCAATAGGAGCAAAACAGTAAATACTCTTCTCTCATCTGCTGTCACATGCTTGTGAAGTTGCTCTTGGACAGTAAGTACCAAGAAAATAAAGAGATCACTTTAAAGGGACTTCACCAGGAAGTATGGGTAGCAATTTCATGCATAAAATTGGACTATCAGACTAAAAAATAATTATATTCATAAAAGCACACTCAAGTTTCTCATTAAAAAATTTAAAAACATTTTATTTGTAAGTTTTATACAAATTTAGCATTTATTATCTTTCACTTGGTAGTTTTATTATAATTATATAATATAAAGAAAATATAATTATTATTTTCACCAAGACCCACGTAAAATGTCCCCCAAATCCCTCAAATTTACACAGTGTGCTATATCATTATGTTCATTTTCTAGGTGAGACACTGACATGGAGTCTGAAAAGCCCTCCATACAGCTCAACAGTGCCTAATGTGGAAGTATCCAATTTGAAAGAATACATGAATAAATACCTTCACCCCAAAATGGTGGAAAACTTCAAAGGAACCAGAAAAACTGTGTTGATTTATATAAAGTCCATCTCTACAAAACTTTTTAAAAATAAAGAGTTCCACCATATTGACAACAAAAAAGTGAAACCACAAATCTGAAGACATAAAATAAACATAAGTGATCAAAAATGACAGCTAAACTTCAAGCCATGCCATCATTGTAATCACATGATTAATTTGAGTAAATATTAGGTATTAAAAGCCCAATAATTCCTTCACATTCTAATTTGAGTTATTTCATTTTAGTAATGGCTCTATTGAGGAATTGATCAATTATTTTTTCTGTTCTTGTGGTCTTGTCTTGTTATTTTCCCCTAAATCTATCTGGCAAGATGAACCAAAGAGGACATTTTTCCCTCAAAGAGGACATTTTTCCTTCATGTTCTCTAAAGATCTACCATATAGGATCTTCTAGAGAAAGAATACAACAGCAAGCATACTCTTCTCATAGGAAAAACACTAAGGGGCTCCTAACCACTCCAACAGGAATCATACCAGACCTCAAAACTAACATTAAAAATGCACAGACAGGACATCAGAAGTGGGACATCAAGACAGAGTATGACGAACTATTTTCCTATAATGCCTGATCACATTTACTACCTGGTTATATAGAGCTTTCATTCCAGGAAGCACAAATGCAACATACTCACCATAATAATGGTCAGCAGCAAAATTTGGGGCATGAGGAAATAAAAAAGAAGGAAGAGCATCTACCATATAGGCTGTAATAATATTCAATTCTCTAAGTCTAATAAACAATAAGTCTTCTAATACAGTAGGCATACAATAAAACATATTTGAAGCAAAATCTCTCAAGCAATGAGTGCTTGGAACCTCAAAAATTATTAAAATCATAGTAGTAATAATAATTACTACTATTGGTATTAGTCTTCATTATACTATTTTTATAGTAAGAGAAGTCACAGACACTGTATCTCTGAAGTCTCAAATCCTTATTAAATACACAGAGTTTGTAGGAAACACAGCCTTATCGGAATGCCCTTAATATTCAACTAAAAGGTAAAATTAAAACTTCAACTAGATGGCCGCTTCTAAGACATCAAAACCATTTAAGTCCCTTATTGCCTTTGGTTATTTTCCTTAATTCCAACCCTGAAAAAATAAATGAATTTAGGACATTAAAATCAGATACATTGTATCTGGACTGAAGTTACATTTTACTAAGCATATTAAAAATGTCTAGCATTATGTATGAGCTCTGAACTCTTAACAAAACTTGGAATTATTACAAAATTTAAAAAGCTAAACATTTAGAAAAGAATTATTGATATAACATATATTTTACATTCAAAATCAGGGGTTATTACAATGCACTTTTCAGTTGTCAGTAGAGGATCAAATGCAACAAAAAACATATTGTGACACATTTATTTAAATTAGCTTAAAAATATCACACGGGTTCAAACACTGCAAAACAAATATTCAGTCAGTTGAGTCACGAAGCAGTTATTTGAACATCCAGACTACAATAAGTAGGTATATACAGTATAATACAGATATGTAATAATGATAAATATATTATGTTAAACAACCCTTTGCTAGTTAACAAAGAATCCCTTTTAGGTTATTTTTGGCATGATGCCGGGGGCTCTGTCAAAGAACTGGACACCAGGAATTTGCTAATTTATAGGCTCCCAGCATGTAGCACTTGGACTCTTCAAGTAGATGCATAGCTAAAACGTAGGCTTGTTCATATATTCTTCCATTGTCTGAAAGAGAAAAATAAATTAGAACAATTTCCCCTTAAACCACAGCCTTTAGCAGCAGGTGAAACCTTTTTCATTCTTTTACTTACTCATTTTTTGCTGTTACTGAACAGAAGTTCCCGAAACATATATGGACATAAATCTTTGCATCCTGATCAAGAACAGTGGTTCAGAGTTTGAGAATAATTTGCATACATCTCCATATGGCTGGAACTAAATAACTTTCAACAGACAAAGAGCTGAGCTTGATCATAAAAAGAATGTCGGATAAGAAAAATACTAAAGCATCAGCGGCCAGCATATCACTGTTGACTTCAGATAAATATGCCTACTGAAACGATCATGAGAACCACCTCCAGGCACATGTATTAGAGAAATCTCAGTTTCTGCTACAGATTCTGTGCAAAACATCTTTTTACACTTACTGGCAAGATATAAAGGATAGACTACGATTCATAAGAATTTCTTCCATGTAGGGGCTCCTGGGTGGCTCAGTCCGTTAAGCATCTGCCTTCGGCTCAGGTCATGATCCCAGGGTCCTGGGATCGAGCCCTGCATCTGGCCCCCTGCTCGGCAGGGAGCCTGCTTCTCCCTCTCCCACTCCCCCTGCTTGTGTTCCCTCTCTCGCTGTCTCTCTGTCAAATAAATAAATTAAAATCTTAAAAAAAAAAAAAGAATTTCTTCCACGTATTTTGAAACGCTTTCCTCCAAAGTATGCAAACTTTCTTCATCCCCATCAGTTGGCAAGTTTGCTAACACACCACAAGGCCATAATTTTTTTCCAGCACTTTTTAAAAAATGTTTGGACAGATTTGCAACTAGAGGTAGAGTTAAAATATACAGTGATTTTGCAAGCCCTTTATCATGCAAGGCGAATGGACTTTCTCTTGCATTCTTTCCTACTGTAAACATATATATTTGTTTAACAGAGTGGTTCCTGGGTTGAATCAATAAGGAAGTTCAAGGCAAGTACCAAGCCTTGGGTAATGCCCCTGCCTTTTCCGTGTGAGCCAGGGTCAGCTCAATCAGCAATGTGCAACCTGTTCTTAGGCCTGAACCTCAGGGTACATGATTCACTTGCACCTGCCAGGGAAGACATTGATCAGCATGGGCCAAACTGAGCAAGGCCATGGCTAAGCAACATTGCTCAGAGGGTACTGAAGTTAGAAATCCGGTGTTCTGGGGCGCCTGGGTGGCTCAGATGGTTAAGCGTCTGCCTTCGGCTCAGGTCATGATTCCAGGGTCCTGGGATCGAGCCCCGCATCGGGCTCCTGGCTCAGCGGGGAGCCTGCTTCTCCTTCTCCCTCTGCCTCTCTCCCTGCTCATGCTCTCTCTCTCTCTGTATCTCTGTGTCTCAAATAAATAAATCTTTAAAAACAAAACAAAAAAAAGAAATCCAGTGCTCTAACTGGTTTTCACCAGCTCTGTTTAGAATTCCAGTGTTCCTCTGATGAAATACTTGTGCTCAGTCATCCACACTTTCTTATAAAGCTCTTACACCTCACACTGGCCAACAGCAACCCACACCCTAAGACCTTTGCCCTGTATCTCCTCTTACAGAAGCTGCTGGTGTCTTTAAAGTTAGCCGGAGTATCACATTGGCCTGGGGCCCATGCCTATTTTGTAGCATCTGGAGTTTATATCATTAAAAAAGGAATACAAAGGGGCACCTGGGTGGCTCAGTCAGTTAAGCGTCCAACTCTTAATTTTGGCTCAGGTCATGATCACAGGGTTGTGAGATCGAACCCTGCACTGGGGCTCCCCCAGCATGGAGCCTGCTTAAGATTTCCTCTGCTTCTCCCCCAACCCCAGCTTGCACTCTCTCTCTCTCTCACAAAAAAAAGGAATACAAAGAAATACAAAATTGGGTATAAAGTTTATTTAGAATGAGAAAAGAAATAACAGATGCTAACTTTTTTTTAAAAATTATTTATTTATTTGAGAGAGGGAGAGCACAGAGGGAGAGTGAGAGGGACAAACAGAGAGCAGGGAGCCCGATGTGGGGCTCGATCCCAGGACCCTGAGATCATGACCTAAGCCGAAGGCAGATGCTTAATTGACTGAGCCACCCAGGTGCCCCCAGATGATAAATTTTTTTTAGAAGATTTTATTTATTTATTTGTCAGAGAAAGAGAGAGAGAGAGCACAAGTAAGGGGAGCAGCATGCAGAGGGAGAAGCACGTTCCCTGCTGAGCAAGGAGCCCGATGCGTGGCTCGATCTCAGGACCCTGAGATCATGACCTGAGCCAAAAGCAGACGCTTAACCAACTGAGCCACACAGGCATCCCTCGGATGATAAATTTTTAAAAGATGACAAATACCGCAGAATTCAGAACAACAGCATATGGTTTCCATTCATTAAGTACCTGACACACTTTATAATATGTTCATTGCATGGCTACATATGCTTTGCAGTTAGATATCCTACCTTTGCAAATCTCACCACATGAGCCTGCAGCCTTGGAAGGGGCTTGGGCCAGCAAAAGGCTCTGGAATTGTCACTCCACTGACTTCCTGGTTCACTGGCCTCTAGTTATCGGCCCTGCTTCACAGCACTGGTTAACTCAGCCCGCTAAAGACTGCACGGACTGCCCTTTCTGAACCATGCTGTTCCCTAGATTACATGAACCAAGAGCACACAAGGTCCGTATTTTCTTGAGCTTGCCACTTTCAAGGTTGGAACAGACTTTTAAGAATGACACAACCTTAAAGAGCTCTGCTCTGGCCATTCACAAGAGGACCCAGATCTGTCCCTCAGGACCCCATCTGTTATCCATCTTGTACCCCCACATTTCTTGTGGATTCAGCACTGTGTGCACTACAACTTTTTACTGCACTATGGTTCCGCTTAGCTGTTAACATGAGTTGTGCTTTTAAGGGTGACAATGTTGGGGTGCACCTAGCCATTTCTCACGCATCCACACATACACAGGCAAGATATCCTGTTTCGTGAGCTAATGAGGTACATTTTGACCCTCGCTTCTCACCCTGTGGGGGAACCTCTTCTGTCGGTCGCCCCCGCTGGCGATGCCAGGAATTGCAACCCCCGCAGCTAATGAGGACCATCTTTCCCTTTCAGCTTCTTTTCTCTTCTCATTCCGCACCACCGCCCACAGGTTGTCCCCCTGAAAATAAGGCACCTCCTAAAGTCACCCCCAACCACTTAAACTGTTTTTTTCTTAATCCGTACTACTAATGTCAAGCCCCAGTACACTCAGAATAATCCCTGAGCATTTGGAGATTTAAGACTATGTATCTTCTTACTAAATATGTGAGGACAGCCTTTCTATTCTAAGAAACCTTTCCTGGGTAGGAGTCGGGGAAAGTTCCAGGAGCTAAAAGCACAAGCAATATTACAAAGGCCTCCCTTAACCTTTAATAGCTACATGTGTGTGCTCAGGTCCAGAGAACAGGGAAAAAAAGAAAGCAGTCATGTTTTTCCTTATGTAATTATGTTACTTGCACCCCTTCATTCTAAACATTTCTGATCAGATATACACAGTCAATTTCTCAATCAGCTCCCCAAATGTTCACTGATTCACTGACTTAGCTGAAGTACCCAGAGCCCAAGAGAGCACTGATAACACTGTCTCTATTTGGCAGGTGCTGTGATTTCACCAAGAGAGATTTGGAGGGCAGTCATGGCATTGCCTGCTCACTATGGGGACGCCGGGGCTAAATGGAGGGGATCCGGAGGCCTACCCATCAAGACCTTCCACTTGATCACCAGGGACATGAACTACCAGTTAATGTTTACTTGTGAAAGGGCTCTCTCCTGAAATCTGTGCTTCCCAGAGTTCCATGGAACCAGATTCACTGCAAGCTCTTTGAAACTCTATATATTTCTTACAGAGGAGGAATTCAAAATAATCCAGGTGTGTCTTGGCCCCAATTCAAAAAGCTTTAATTACTGTGAGTGCCAAAGACCCTGCTAAAAAGTCCCTTTCTCCTGTAAGGCTTAGACTCCACAGTCAGGGCCCTGAGGATAGAATTATAAATAACCCCTGGCATGTTTTAAGAAAGGTAGTTCTGTGGAATTTCCAAACCACTGAGTTCTCAAGCACCTTGTAAAATTCCCTTCCTGTGGCATTTGGAGAGAGCCAAGTAAACAGCAGAAAGTTTAAGTGCATTTCTTGAGGCAAGAACAACTCTGGAAAGAAATGCACCGGCCTCCTAAAAGGCACGCGCAGACACTGGGGTACTGCTCCTACAGAGGTCTTCCTCAGGGTCCGTTCACCTGAGGACCGGTTCCCCTGGATGGGCAGGAGCAACTCGTCGGTTCAGAGACGTGCACAAAAAAGGGGCTAGGAAACCATGCCTGATGTTGTTTTATTAACACAGTCAGTATCTTCTTTCTCAAAAGGCAGTAAGAATGGCTTTAATGCCAATTTTTAAGAGAGAGTTTATGATCCTCTGGGATCTCCTGACCGGCTACTGTAAAACAGGCAAGCGGAAAGACCCATGGACGCTGCAGGAAGAAGTACCCAGGGGTGGTGAAGCCAGGACAGAGCTCAGCTTTGAGCCAGAGCTGGTGGGTTCACCTCATTAGGGAGGCCAAAGGTCAGAGGGGTGATGTGCTCTTTCTCGGTGTCATTGGGAGGAAGGAGTGAAGGGGCTGATGTAGGTGAGTCCCCTTACTGGGTACAATGCCAATCTAGCCTGCTTCTAAAAGACCCACTGTATTTTTTTTTTTTAAGATTTTATTTATTTATTTGAGAGAGAGAGAGCATGAGAGGGGGAGGGTCAGAGGGAGAAGCAGACTCCCTGCCGAGCAGGAAGCCCGATGCGGGACTCAATCCTGGGTCTCCAGGATCATGACCTGAGCCGAAGGCAGTCGCTCAACCAACTGAGCCACCCAGGCGCCCGAGACCCACTGTATTTTATATAAATATCACAGAACCAGGAGCACATGGATGCTTCTGGGCCCATTTATACCTTGGCAAGCAAGCCACAGTATTCTCAATTTATTTATGCAAATAGGAGCACACAGGCAGCCTAGGCGGGAGGTGTGAGAAATTTTAATTAAAATGATAAATGCCATCTTCAATAATAAAGCTCTAATATCCCTGGTAAATGAAATAACGACGTACTCCTATTCTCCTTTCCCAGGGTAGCGCAGATATATATATATTTTTTAAAGATTTTATTTATTTACTTGACAAAGAGAGAGAGTTAGTGAGAGCAGGAACACAAGCGGGGGAGTGGGAGAGGGAGAAGCAGGCTTCCCGCCGAGCAGGGAGCCCGATGCGGGGCTCGATCCCAGGACCCTGGGATCATGACCTGAGCCGAAGGCAGACGCCTAACGACTGAGCCACCCAGGCGCCCCGGTAGCGCAGATATTTTAATGAAAATCTTTTTATACCTCTCGTAAAATCCTTGAAAAAAAATTAGCACCAAGCTTTTGATACCTTTTTGACAGTTAGGTATCCTCACTAAAAAAAAAACTCAGCCAAACAAAGAACGAAGATTCTGGAGCCCAGCGTCCTGCGTTCAAATCTCTATTCCACACTTACTGGCTGTGTCACATCAAGCAGATTGTTTAACCTCTCTGTGTCTCAGTTTACTCAGCTTCAAAATGAGGGCAAAAAATGCTACCCACCTCTTAGAGGTATTGTGATAATTAAATGAGTTAAAACAGGTAAGTTACTTAGAAACTGCACTCAGCATAGAGGAAGCGCTCAGTAAGTCTCTGCCAACATATCATCATCATCACCACCATCATCATTATCATTTTCCCCCATGGCACCAACGCTGGGTACTGACCTCCTGTAACATATCAGAATCTTCAATGGCTTTGACAGCAGATTTTTTGGACGTTTCCTGAATTTCTCCACCCATTATAAACTCGTCAAGGATAAAATAAGCCTTTTCGAAATTAAAGATAATATCCAGCTCACAGACCTGGTAGACAAAAACAAATGTTTTGGTAAACTTGCAGGAATATCAGGGCAAACAAATGTCAGTGTCTCAAGCTTTCTCAACAGTTACACCCATGTGGCATACCAAAGATAAAACCATCAGATGGTATCGTAAGGACCGAGAAACAGAACGAGGGGATCCCAGGCCTTTAGCAAAAGTAAAACCACATTCCATTAAGCAGGCCATGTCCCTAAATAATATTTCTTTATGTCACAACAAGAAATTTGAGACTTGGGACAGGAATCAGGCAGCACGAGCTCATATTTCCATCTGCACGAATAGAAGCCAAGTCCCCACTGCAAGTCAGGCAGAGGACAACGCCTCCTTCCTCCTACTCAACCGGCTGGAAATCTTGGCTCCTAGCTTTAGGACTCTCAGAAGCTCACTCTTCAGAGGCAAATTAGCTCAACTGTGCTAATTTTTCTCAAAATTATGTCACAAGCCAGTGGTTCTCAAACTTCAGAGTGTATCCGAATCCCCCAGAAGGCTCCTTAAGGGACACAGTGCTTGGGCCCCAGCCCTGGAGTTTCGGATTCGGTGGGTCTGGGTAAGGCCTGAGAGTCTGCACTTGTAACTGGTTCCCAGGTGATGCTAATGAGGCGGGTCTGGGGACCACACAGGGAGAACGACTATCATAGACCAAAACAGAGTCCGATAGATTTTGCTGTGTAAGGGAAGCAAGCGACAAGAGCACCCCCCTCCCCCAATAATCCAGATAGGGCTTGTTTCCAATTCCCTGACCGGACCAGCACTCAGGCACTCTCCTGAGGTTTTCCTTCTCACTTATTCCTCAACTCCCCAACACTTCTGTTTCCGGTTCCACACCCTCTGGAAGGCTTCCACCTGCAAGTTTTTAGCCCTCCCCCTCCTTCACTTCTCAGCAACACTGGATACCCTTCACCAGTCTTTTTCCTGAAAATCCCCTCTCCCCTGCTCCCTGACTTTGGCAATGCCATTCAATGCCTGTTCCTGTCTTCCATCTCTGCTGAATCCTGAATCCTTCTCAGACTCGTTGGATGATCTCTACCCCTACTTCACATTTGGTTAGGAAGTATTTATGGAGTTCTCGGGACAGAATCAGCAAAGCCAGCCTCACGGCTGCATGTGTCTTACATTCCAGTGACCCACCTTCTGCTTTAATGCTGGTGTTTTTCATGAAAGCCCTACGTATATTCTAGACAATGCCAAGGACGCTCTACAGCTGTGTCTGGCATGCAGGTGTCTTAACAAACCCAGATGTCTAGCCCTGATCTCCTTCTGGGGCGAGTCCAATATTTCCACCTGCTCATTAGACCTCTCTGCCTGGATATTCCTCAGGCCAAGGCACCAGGTGCCAAACTGAGGTCAAGCGTATTCTTTTCCCCGCAGACCCTGTTTTCCTTCATAGCTGCAACCTCTATCTGTGGCCCAATCTAATTCATCCCACAGATCCACTTCTTTCCCCCTCCCCCTCATCCCTCTCTCTCCTTCAGTCTCATCCCTCTCAGTCTGGTCTCCAATTCCTATTGATTCTATCATGGAAATAAATCCCAGCCCTTCCTGTCTTCTCCCCGTTCACCACCGCTGCTCCAGCCTGCAGCGTCTCATGAAGGCCACTGCAATGACCTTCTAGGCGGTGTCCGTCCGCACTCAAGGCCAACAACCATTAACACTGTGCTGAAGTGCCGATCTCTTTCCTCTCCTGAGTAGGGTCTTATGTTAAGGACAAAGCTTCCATTCCTCTGCCTGGCATATAGGACTCCTGACCACCCAGCCTGGGTGGGCTATCTGCTGCGCATGTCAGCACTCAGCCACCCCATGCTACACCCACACTCCACTAACTCACCGGCTTCTCTTATGCCTTTACCCTTTGCCCATCCCAGCAATTCCTGCAATGACCCCCAGTTGGCCTTTTCTTTATTCTGCTGGCAAAATTAAGCTCATTTTTCAAGGCCAGATTCAAAAGTCAGGGGCACAATGATTCCACCGAAGCCTTTCTCCCCCATTCGGATTTCACACCGCTTGCTCTGTGTTCTCTCTTTCTGTGTATGCTGACTGATCAATCTCTGCCCCCCCAGTACTGTGAGCTCAGGCACAGACCTTATCTTATCAGTCATCTCGCTATCTCTGGTATCTCGCACATAACAGGACGCAGTACACATCTGCAGGATAAATGAGTCAGTCATCACTTAGGCCTTGTTTCTGTGATGCTGGGAATTAATGGCTTCCCAGACCAACAGTTCTCTGATGTTGCTGAGTACTATAACTTTACATAAAACCCATGTCAACATTTTAGCAAAGGGTTTAGGTCATACATTTACCATTTAGGTCAATAAGCTTGCAGACTCCACAAGGTAAACAGTTAGGTAAATACCGCTATCATAAATGGCCAGCTCAGAAAAACTCACCTAATTCATCTGCAAAGGTCATGGTCTCCTCATTCATTAGAAAGCAGCATCAAGTGGGTAAATCAACAACAAGTGGGTGTATATATCTAGAGCTACTTCCCTCCTCCCTCAACAGTCTATCTCTGCCTGCGCTGATGACATGGAAATTCCATGTAGAAGTTGGAAAGAATGAGATAGATTTCTATGGACGGCTGTGGAAAGAACTCCAAGATACATCTGTAAGTGGGGGGAGGGGGGAGAAAAAGTTGCAGAATAATATGCATAATGTCATAATATGCATAATCCCATTTAAAAATAAAACTGTATATGTCTAGAAGGATATGTAAAAAAATACACAGTTTTAAATAATACAGATAAACAGAAAGAAAACACAATAGATCAGGCATCCATGCTCATTAGAGAAGGTACGAGAAGCAAGCAGTTACCAGAGGTCAGAAGAGGCAGGAAGTCAGTAGTTATAGTAGCAAGAGCTGAGGAACCTCAGAGTTCAAGGCAGGCGTAGACCAGGAGTCCGAGACAGACAGGAGCCTCATTAGGAGAAACCAGCAATTAGAATCCTGCAAGATGAACCTGACAGATACTAATGCAAGTTCTCTAGTTCTCTAGGACCATCTCAAACCCCACTCTCAGAGAGGCAACCTGCAGGCTGGCCAGCAGCCATGGGGCAATTAATTTACTGCATCTAGTTTCAAGAGATGGGAATAAAGTAACAGGGCATGCAAAGCCAGATACACACACACACATACACACACATACACACACATACACACACAGAGGCAGCTTGGATATACAATTACTATCTCTAGATCATAAGGAAACAGATGCACAAGTTCCATTGAAATTATAGAGAGTTACAAATGAGCAACTATTTCATATATGGCAACTCCAAAATGCTACTTCTTTGGTTATTCTTTGATCCTAACCCCAAGGGGTTACTGTATCTGTGAGTAAGAACAGGGAATATCTCCCAGAGCACCTTAGACCAAATGCAGAGCAATTACTCAAATACTTGTGAGTCCACCTCAAGGGTACTGTCCCGGTACATCAGGAATATGCCCTTGATGCTCAAATGACTGCATTTCATCTAATTATGCAAAAACAAGTGGTTTCCATGTTCATAAACACATGAGACTGTTAATTTCTTTTCTCATTTCTTGTGTATCTCTATTCTGGAAGAAAGCTTATAAAAGGCAGAAACAGTGATAATTTAATTTTACCCTTGATCTCTTAGCCTATGCCTTACTATAATCTGACCTGAGGGTCTATTCTTGTAGCAGAATACATGATGCAGAAGATTATTTCTGGCATTTCAATAACTAAATACTTCTGGATAGAGTCTAAGAACCTTCTCTTACTAAATTCTGTTCTAAAGTAAATACAAAAAGTTTAAATTATATACAGTAAATGTATAAAACCATACATACAATAATTACGGTTTAAGGTACAATGACATAGCAATTGACAGTTTGTAAAGTATTGTTAATTACACTGTTGCTTCGATCCTCACAATAGCCCCATGAGATTAGCAAAGTAAATATTTCTATTAATCTTTTTGAGTGTTATTTTTCTTATATGTAAATTAGAGATCTATCCCGAGCCAAAATCATGAGTCTGGTTAGTGAGTGAGTGGACACCAGGACCCAGCAGGACTCAGAGCCCTCCTCTTCCTCCCAGAAAACTTCCTAAATCAAGATCAAACCTCTCTGGGGCAGCAACACCCATACTCTCTGAGCACATCTGTAAAAACTCACACTATAGTCTATAATGGGAAAATATGCAGGTGGCCAAATCCTCAGACAGACCTTTATCAACTGGGAGATTCTGGGACATTTCTTCTTAGCCTCCATAAATTGGGGTTAATGCTGTTTACTGAAGATCAAAAGATTAACCAGTTAATCCTTGTAAATCTCCCTGGAATTGAAAAATGCTCAAAAAACACATAAATTAGTAGCCAGAGATTTTGATTTATCTGTCACAGGAAAGTAATATTTTCCAATGTTATAAGAGAAGCTCGGGACAAAGTTTTCTCTTCGATAATATTAAGGGTAGAATTCCAGGAGACCTTCAGGATTAACACAAGAGGAAAAGAAAGCCAAAGAGAAATATATTATTCCTGAGATGATGTCAATGAGAATCAGTACTGGTAGGCTTTGCTCATCACAGTTAATTAATAAGAACTGAACACCTACTGGGCAGATAGCCTTGAATTGCTCTTAGCTGCTCTTAGCTTAATAAAAGATTCCTTGAATTTTTTAGTGAATTAAATTTTGGTCCATGGGAAAGACAGAGCTTCTAAAGGTACACCAAAATAGGATGAAAAATTAATGTTAGAGAAATAGGAATTCATTCTGATTCTCTTTATATCTTAACTGGGCTCAGCTTTGGTGAAGGTGATTTAGATTCTCTTAAGAAAGCAATGTGTTCTCAAATATCTAATATTTGGTCAGATAAGACTGACATAAAAATTTAACCTCCATTCACATTATCACAGTCAGGGAAATCTAGGAAAACACAACAGGTCAAACCCGAGTGCAGAAATTAGGGGCAGAAGGCAGGTCCTGGGAAAGCCTGGGCCTCAGGAAAACACCTTCAGGTCTTTCTTTACAAAAGGCCAAGTTTGCAGTGGATTTCAAAATGTCAGGCTTCCTTTGAATAATGGAAAGCATAAAATTAAATAATCTCATGTTCAAAAACATGCAATTATACACCTGCGAATCCCTCTCTAAAAGATGAAAATAAACATGGGCAGCTAAGAGAAAGAGAAAGAAAAAATGGTCTGGCTGTCTTACTCTCTATACTGACCAACGACCTAAAATCTCCGAAGCGACATTTAAAGTCATCTTCTACCATCATTTACGAAGGGAAATAAAGGGGAATAATAAGGATGAAGGGAGGGAGGGAAAGAAAATTCTTCAAAAATCTTTCAAGTACTCACCCTTGTGAAAATTGTTGCAAGTAATCTGATAAAACCCTGGCGATGCTGCAAATGTTACTCATTCCATTGACCAGAGCACAGAAAGTCTTGTGGAAGCAAACTGTCCCAACAACACTTAATAGAAATCCTCAGTGACCCAGGGAACAGGGAAGGGAGCATTACTGAGAGAAAATATATTCCAAATCCAATGATTTATTTCTTAAGACCATGAAATGGATGGCATGTTTCTGGAACATTTGCTAAAATCTGGCCCAGAGTTGCTCACAAGTGTTGAAAAATCAAACAACTAAATCCTAGGTCATGATCTCGAGACACTTGAAGTTTGGTGTTCATACAAATCTTGCACAAGTTAAGGATAATACCAGGCTGTCCCATGTGGTTGGAGCACTGAGCCTATCAGGGATAAAAAAAAAAAGAACAGCGAGAAGGTTGGAGAAGTGGTCTGGGACTGATGTTTAGAAAGCTTAAATGCCAGGCTAAGAAGTTGGGCTTTTATTCATTATAGATGATGGAAAGTGGCTGAGGACAACCGTCGCCTGGATCCATGCATTGCAAGGAAGACGGTAACTAACAAGCCAGGAAAGGGAAGCAGAGAAGAGCCCAGAGGCATAAAGGGCCAGAGATGAGGTTTCAAAGAAAAGCAAAACTGCAATCCCAAGTAAACCTGTACTGGTGGGAGTGGAAGGAAAGAGATGGATTGTAGTCCCATCTGAATAGACAAAGGCAGCCTTTAGCAAAGGGTGGAGGAAGAACAAAGAAAGAAGCATTGAAGGATCCTGGGACATAATAAACTCAGTCACAAGACAGAACAGGTTTGCAGAAGATTATTTTAGTTCTCGACACGTTACAACGGAGACGGCTGAGAGAAGCCCAGAGAAGACTGTCCTCAGCAGACTTCTGGGAAGAGAGCCATCTGGTCATGGATTCCAGGAGGGTAGAAAGGGCAGGGGGAGGAAGAGAGCTCGGGGCAGAAACCAAGCAGGGGCCTTTAGAAACAGGATGAGAATTAGCAGAACTCAGGGTTGTGCCAAAAAAAAGAAAGGGAAGCAGTGACGAGCAAGGATCCCGTGCTACAGAGAGGTGAGGCAGGGGAAGCCTGAAGAAGCATCACTGGTGTTGACCAGTAGGAAGGGGCCAGTGGTAACTTTATGATTTCCTGGGAGCCATAAAGATGGAGCCCGAGCTGTAAAAGTGAATGAGTTCTAAGGATGGGGCACCTCATACAGGATACTACTTGGCAGTAAATGCATGGAGGTTAAATAGCAATAGGAAGGAAAAGGATTTTGGTTTCCTTGTTTGTTTGGCTTTTTTTTTTTTTTTCACGTATAAATAGTATTAAAGAACACCTGGAGCTTAGTAAAAGAAGCCAGAGAGGGGATTAAAAAGTCAAAATAGAAGAGAGATGACAGATGATGAAGAATGAGGAGGAAAACATCAAGGAAGCCTTCACAACTAAATTCTTGTTCACTGAATGAGCTCTCTAGGGTGGTTGTGTCTGAAGACAGAGAGAGACACGGCCTGCCTCTGAAAGCTTTGGAACCTTTGTTTACAAAGAATCACAGGAAGGGGGAGAATGCCTCATATTCTGATCCTTGTGCAAATGCAATTCATATTTTAGACTTGAGAGAGAGAAGGAATGCGATAAAGACAGAACTGACATAGAGCTGAAACGGGGACTAATTCCAAACAGACCAGTTTGGACACTTACATTTCCAAAGTATTTGTCCAGCAACTCCACGTAACGATGCACAATCTCTAGTGTCAAGAGCTCATTGTCCTGATTTTCTACAGCACAGCAAAAATATAAACTAGCATACCTTGAAAGGAAAAACACGAAGAAAGAAAAGTAAAATACGATGACACATCCAATAACCTGAAGATGGTGTTTTCTGCAGGGAATATGCGAAGCTCCCTCTTCTCCAGAGACTCTCCCCATCCAAATCCAAGAAAGAAGTCATCATTCATCACATCCAATAGCCTCCCAATATGTGAAAGAGAATATATAAAAACAGAGTGGCCATTGGGTTATTTCAGTTAATTACATGAAAGACTCTCAACACCATTTTACCCTGAGGAACTGTTATCAGGAAGACAGAGTCCTTGGTCCAGAGTAATGGGGGTGTCTGTTCATGCCCCTCCCCTGCTTGTGAACCATCCTTTCTAAACTTCAAGCCCGCGACCCAGGCTCTCACCTCACACTCCTTCTGTATTTGACCCACCCTCAGCCCATCCAGTCTATCCTCCTGCCTAAAATCCTCTTTCCCACACCCATCTGTGTGGTTAATGCCAACTCCCCGCCTTAGCTCTGAGCTTGGATGTCTTTCCTCCGGGAAATCTCTAACCTCGCAGACGGGACTGGATGCCGGGCTCTGCACACCTGTGCCTCCCCCAACAGAGCACCTAGTGCTCTTCACTGCCCATTTCATGGCTTGTCTCTGCCCCACTAGGTCACTGGCTTCCCAAAGGCAGGTGCTGAGTCTGCCTTGCTCATGTTCCCAGGAGCTGCAAATATCTGTTGAGAGAACTGCTAAAGCCTATTCTTTATACAATGGCTTAAATCACAAATGAACTCAAAGTTTTAAAAAGCCAGCAGGCAGAGAGTAGGGACAAGCTTCTTGTTGACAAGTGCTTCCTGGGACTCTGCCTTGCCGTCCCTGGGATGCTTATTAAAAGGGGCCTTCACTGACATCTCTCCGGATGCTAGTACTAAATGCTTTAATAAACTTGGACCTGGCGGAAGCAGCTTTGCCCGGGCACTTCTTCATAATTTACTCCATTAAATATAGCCTGCCAACTGGCCTCTGCTTTTGCCTTTCAGGTTTTATAAACACCTTTTGCAAGAGCCTTCCTAATGTGCATTTTCTTTCTGGGAGTGGCAGGAGGATGTTGAATGCAGGGTCAGGTCAGCTAGGTTCTGGTCCAGGCTTAGACATGAATTATCTGGGCCTCTATGAGCAAAATGGCTTGACCTCTTAGGGTCTCAGTTTCCTTACCCATAAACTAAAGTTGCTCACCAGTATGGTCCTGCTATGGCAAGCAGGTGCAATAATGAGAGGATATGTAAGTTTTAAAGCCAGAAGGAGGGGCGCCTGGGTGGCTCAGTCTGTTAAGCGACTGCCTTCAGCTCAGGTCATGATCGCAGGGTCCTGGGATCGAGCCCCAACTCGGGCTCCCTCCTCAACACGGAGTCTGCTTCTCCCTCTCCCTCTTCCTCTGCCCCTCCCCACCCTGCTCATGTGCTCTTTCTCAAATAAATAAAATCTTTAAAAAAAAATAATAAAGCCAGAAGGATATGGATTTGAATCCTGACTCTCCCAATTGCCCCTTAGTTCCTGTGACTGAAGACTAATTACTTAGAAACTCTCTGTGGCTTCAGTTTCCTCCTCTGCAAATATGAGTAATAATGGCAGTAATAAGAGCTGCCCTTCTCTCTAGCACCTTAACCTGCATTTTGTCCCATAGCATGTATTACTAACAGATAAGGTTTTGTTTGCCTAACCGATGAGTATGCCCTGTAAGAGCAGCATTGTTTCTGTCATTTGTTACGGCATCCACTGTCATTAGAAGTGCTGGAAATGTAATAGGTGCCCAGAAGCTATTTCTTGAATGCACTTGTACATTATCCACATGTAGATTACATCCCTAGAATCCATCCTGGCACATGGAAAGCCTTTCAATAAATGAGAGTTCTTTTTTGCTAGTCTCCTGATACAAATATTGGGGTTCCAGGCTCCAAAGATTTCAGTAAGTGATGCAACTGGTGCTGTAATAAAAAATGTTCAGGATTAAACAATCCAAAGCAATAATAAGAAAGACAGTTTTCATAAAGTTACTCACACCTTTTATAAACAAGTTTTAGCTCCTTCCAGTCAATAAAGCTGCTTGTCCTCTGACCACGAGAGAGAATAATCTGAACAATTTCCCGGGTGATCCTTTTCCTCTCTTTGTCAGGGAGAGTCGTGTACCATTTCTGCAGCCGTAATTTCCCCTGTCGACTGAAAAGCAATATGAAATGTATCTAGAACAAATAAAGGACAGAGAAAAACAGAATTTGATCAGCTAAATCATTCTACATAGACACTGGAAATTAAATGGCAGGGTTTACAAATGATGATAATTCTGAACAAATGAAAAAATTCTCACCAGCATGAAAACTATCTCATTTGAAAATTACATTTAACCCATCCGAGAACAAAGAAATGTGTGCGTCCCAAACATGGCTTATTGGTATTAGAGGGGAAAGATAAGAGTTTAAAAAATTATCCCTTTGGGGAGTCACAAATTTATTATAGGCAGAAAAATATATAAAGGAAGAATGTAACTCTTTTAAGAAAACAATAAAATCTTCCTTCACAAGGCAAAAATAAAGTGTTAATAACAGTGGAAGAGTTTACTTTAAAAATTGCATCCCAGTTCCATGTCAAAACTATGGCAACATAGTGATAATAGAGGGGGGGAAAAAGGGAGAGAAAGGAGGCAAAGGAAGATAAAGCACTAGGAAAGGGTGAGAAAGCAAGAAAGGGGCTACATTCTCAGTCTTTTTGTTTTTTAATAAAAATTGTATATATTGAAGGCATACAAGAGAGGGATCTGATACACATATCTAGAGTGGAGTTATTACTATAGTCAAGCTAATTAACATTTCATCTCCTCACATGGTTGCCATTGTGTGTGTGTGATTACAGCCCCTGAAATCTAATCTCTTCATAAATTTCCAGTAGTCAATCCAGTATTATTAACTATAGTCATCATCATGAACAGCAGATCTCTAGACTTATTATTCATCTTATAACTGCAACTTTGTGCTCTTCAACAAACATCTCCGCATTTCCCCCACCTCCCCACTCCTGGGAATCATGGTTCTACTCTATATGCCCCTATGACTTTTAATGTTTCAGATTCCACATATAAGTGAGATCATGCAGTATTTGTCTTTCTATGCCTGGCTTATTTCACTGAGCATAATGTCATCCAGGTTTATCCATGATTTCACCAATGACAGGATTTCTTTCTTTTTTATGACTGAAAATATTCCATTACACACACACACGCACACACAAAACACACACACATATATACCACATTTTCTTTATCCATTCATCTATCGATGGACACTTAGGTTAATTCCGTATCTTGGCTATTGTGAATAATGCTGCAATGAACTTGGAAGTGCAGATATCTCTTCAAGATACTGATTTCATTTCCTTTGAAAATACACCCAGAAGTGGGATTGCTGGATCACATAGTACTTCTATTTTTAATTATTTGAGGAACCTCCATACTGTTTTCCATGATGGCTACACCAGTTTGCATTCCCACCAACAGTGTTCCCTTTTCTCCAAATCTTCACCAACACTATTGTCTTTTGTCTTTTTGGTAACAGTCATTTTAACCAATGGGAGGTGATCTCCTATGGTTTTGATTTGCATTTCTCTGATGATTAATGATGTTGAGCATCTTTTCATATACCTGTTGGCCATCTGTATGTCTTCTTTGAAGAAATACCTGTTCAGGTCCTTTGTCCATTTTTTAATCAGGTTATTTATTTTCTTGCTATTGACTGGTTTGAGTTACTTCTATATTTTGGATATTAACCTCCTAACAGATATATGGTTTACAAATATTTTCTTCCAGGTGGCCACTTCATTCTGTTGATTGTTTCCTTTGCTGTGAAGAAGCTGTTTAGTTTGATGTAACCTCACTTGTCTATTTTTGCTTTTGTTCCCCTTGCTTTTGGGGTAATATCCAAAATACCCTTGCCCAGAACGAAGCTTTCTCCTTCTACTTTGTTCTAGTAGTTTTGCAGTTTCAGATCCTACATTTAAATCTTAATCCATTTTGAGTTGATTTTTTTAATAGGGAGTGTCAGAAGGATCCAATTTCATTATTTTTCATGTGGATAACCAGTTTTCCCAACACCACTTATTGAAAGATTTTCCTTTCCCCTTTGTGTGTTCTTGGCAGCTTTGTTGAAGATCAAACGAAGTCTTAAATGTAAGCTCTTTACCCCACTTTGTGGCTAACTTGGCTGAGAGCTTTAGAATAGACCATCTCATGTAACAATTGTCTTTGTCATCCTAATAGATTTGTTAACAATTTAGATAGTGTGTTGGCTATGTTTGGAAGCAACCCAATCTTATTTTCAATTAAGTTTCAAAACGTGTATTTTAAATAAGGATTTATATTTCAATGCATTTTAAAAGATTTAAATGAATGGAAGACACCATAACATGTAGAAATTTACTTTAGTACCTTGGAGGTTCAGCAGAGATGCTTTTCAGAAATTGTCAGATGGTATAATATTTATTTGATGGGAGATTAAGTTTTCTCAAGGCACCATGTGAGAAGTAGTTTAGAATCATAATTTATTTCGGGGCGCCTGGGTGGCTCAGTCATTAAGCGTCTGCCTTTGGCTCAGGTCATGATCCCAGGGTCCTGGGATCGAACACGCATTAGGCTCCCTGCTCCGCGGGAAGCCTGCTTCTCCTTCTCCCACTCCCCCTGTTTGTGTTCCCTCTCTTGTTGTGTCTCTCTCTGTCAAATAAATAAATAAAATCTTAAAAAAAAAAAAGAATCATAATTTATTTCATCAGGTTTTTGCTTTCTTTTCTTTTTTAAAAAAATAAAATTCAGTAGGGGTTAAGTGTGTTATGGAGGGGAGAATGATATATACTGGAAGCCAAAATAATTAAAATTTTAAAAACTTTTTTTTAAAGATTTTATTTATTTGTTTGAGAGAGAGAGAGAGAAAGAGCATAAGGGGGGGAGTGGTAGAGGAAGAGGGAGAAGCAGGCTCCCCGCTGAGCAGGGAGCCCCATGAGGAGGGACTGGATCCCAGGACTCTGGGATCATGACCTGAGCTGAAGGCAGATGTTTAACCGACTGAGCCACCCAGGCGCCCCTTTAAAAACATTTTATTTATTTATTTTTTTTTTGCAAATATTTTAAAAACATTTTATAAATAAAATATTCACCTCCTTTTATTGAAGAGGTTTGGCTCTGAATATCAGGGCATAGGTCATAAAAACTCACTAGGTGGTGATATCTGAGGACCAAAAGCAACCAGGCTCTTTCCTCAGAGCTCCTCCTACCTCAAACCTATAGAATTTGAGGTCTTCCTTAATAAAGTTATATCCTGTCTTAGAAAGAAAACATATCAAGTCAGGAAACGCCAGATGTTGGTGAGGATGCGGAGAAAGGGGAACCCTCCTACACTGTTGGTGGGAATGCAAGCTAGTGCATCCACTCTGGAAAACAGCCTGGAGGTTCCTCAAAAAGTTGAAAATAGAGCTATCCTATGACCCAGCAATTGCACTACTGGGTATTTACCCCAAATTATACAAATGTAGTGATCTGAAGGGGTACGTCCACCCCAATGTTTATAGCAGCAATGTCCATAATAGCCAAACTATGGAAAGAGCCAAGATGTCCATCAACGGATGAATGGATAAAGAAGATGTGGTATACATATACAATGGAATATTATGCAGCCAAAAAAAAAAAAAAAAAACTAAATCTTGCCATTTGCAATGACGTGGATGGAACTAGAGGGTATTATGCTAAGCGAAATAAGTCAATCAGAGAAAGACAAGTATCATATGATCTCACTGATATGAGGAATTCTTAATCTCAGGAAACAAACTGAGGGTTGCTGGAGTGGTGGGGGGTGGGAGGGATGGGGTGGCTGGGTGATGGACATTGGGGAGGGTATGTGCTATGGTGAGCGCTGTGAATTGTGTAAGACTGTTGAATCACAGACCTGTACCTCTGAAACAAATAATACATTATATGTTAAAAAAGAAGAAGAAGAAGAAGAAGAAGAAGAAGATAGTAGGAAGGGAAAAATGAAGGGGGGGGAATCAGAGGGGGAGACGAACCATGAGAGACTATGGAATCTGAGAAACAAACTGAGGGTTTTAGAGGGGAGGGGGGTGAGAGGATGGGTTAGCCCGGTGATGGGTATTAAGGAGGGCACGTATTGCATGGAGCACTGGGTGTTATACACAAACAATGAATTATGGAATACTACATCAAAAACTAATGATGTAATGTATGGTGACTAACGTAACATAATAAAAGAAAAAAAAAGAAAACATTTCTTAGAATAAAGACTTGAGAACCAAGACATCGCAAGTGAGGAGAAAGCAAGTGTGAAAGCTCTGCTCATCTAGCAACTTTAAGAAACATCACCCTCAGTGTGGAAGTTTAAATATCTGCTGAGAACAGAGCATTTTCTTAAATACCCATTTCACTATCAGCACAGGTATAAATAATTCAGTAAGGGAACACAGTCACTGTTTTCTAAGAATTAAATTGAGAAAGGTATTTTTACGTCTAAGAAGAGATCATCCTAAAAGTGACATTCTAAAAGTACAAGGTGGAAAAAAAATTAAAAATAAATAAAAGTACAAGGTGGAATGGTGATAGAACCATAAAACCTCAGGATCTTGAGAACAAGGCTCAGCTTTGGATCATTACCAATGGATAAGTCTATTCAACTCAATGTCTAGCAAATGGTTAGACTTTCGCTAGAGAAATGAAATCCACACATTTTTCTTAGTGCTCACTTTGCATTTCCTCTCAGAAAAGATTTTTTCTTCCCATCTAACCTAAATCTCTTCTGTTACAGTTTAAGCCATTTTTCCCTGATTTTATCCACAGAGTAAATTAAAAGACAGGATATCACAACCTCAGGAGTAATAACTAACTCTACACATATTTGAAGATAGCCTTTCAGGCTACCATGAATTGTCTTCCTTCCAGGAGAAATAACCCTGGTTTCATGTTGTCTTCTTATTGGTTCTATTTCCAGATCTCAAAATCATGCTTGTTGTGATTCCTCCCAGATTTCTCCATAGGCTAAATGTTACTTTTAATTGAGGGCACTCTGATCAATACCCAAAGTTCCAGTGAGAGGCTGGAAGTAGGGCTGAGTTTCATTGTGGATTACTTTCTAGTTCTTCTACATTGCAACAGTCTCTCACCATCAGGCGCCTCCCCTCTTAAACGTGGATCAAC